CTGGTTATAGCATACAACCGTACCTGGGACATACAACCATATCTTTTTAGCATGGCACCCCACTTTCTGTGTTATTCCTGGTCCAAGCCATTTGGGACGGTCGTATCGTAACAATCTTTGTTCTTAGTCTGTAAGCAAATTGTGCTGAGTCAGTTCATTCAGGTGCTATCATGCTTCTTGGCGTAATGTATTTCAATGCTCTGCCTATTGCGGCCATTCTTTTCGTGCACTTAGTAGTAGGAAGTACGAAGCGCCCTACCATTCACTAGAATACAGTAGAACACAATACCTGTTCAGACCTTTTGGGCATACATAGTAGCGTGGTATCTGTTTTTGACGCTTTGAAATGATCCTTTTAATCATTACTCTGCTGTTGCGGAACGCTATCCCATGGAACTTGTTCTTACAATGAGGAGCAAATTTTTGGTCACTCAACGCCTTAAAAGATGCTAATTTTGTTTTACTAACACTGAAGCCAACTTACGTCGGTCGTATTCTGTACACTGTCATTGGCCGCCGCTGCAGTCGACCTTTCATTGGCGATTCAGTTACTCACTCGTATTCCTTGCAATGCCCAATGATGATGATGGCGCTTTGAGGTTTTAGGGCGCATCGACTGCTGCAGGTCATGCAGCGCCCAAATGCCCAAATAACAATGAAGTTAGAGCATATACCCCGCCCCCCTGCAATGCCCAAATACCAGGGGTTTATGTTCCAAATTCCCTCTGCTGTTTGGTGCCGAAGTGAGTGGCTCGTGGCTTTTTCCGGTCGGCAAACCTTTCGACATCACCGGATCAAGATTAGCATTAAGCAAAAAGCAATCCATGGCCCGCAAGCGCCAGTGCATGGCCAGCTCGCTAGACCCAGCGCAGAGACCAACCTCTTCACAGCCAGGCCAAGAAGGAACTCTCGGCCTGGCCGGAACCAGCGCAGCAACCGGTCCCATGACAGCCGGGGCACCAGCCGACCTACACGAGATTCCACAACGGCATGTTCCACCAGTCAGAAAAGCCGATTAAAGACCTGCACCAGCAAAGACAATGGCAGGAAGCTCCCGCTATTGGTGCCATTCTTACCCGACGGTAGTTGACAAGCGATAACTGTAGGGCGGAACAGAGGGCTCGCACTTACATTTCGAGACTTTAGATGATTTAAGTGGCCCATCGTTGAGCTTCAGTATTGATAAGAATGGCAACGCAACTTGTACATAGAATGAAACGAAGTGAGCACGCTAGACGCTGGCGTTCCAAAACGAAGTGAGAACACTAGACGCTGGTGTTCCAAAACGAATTAAGCACGCTAGACGCTGGTGCTCCAAAACGAAGTAAGCACGCTAGACGCCGGTGTTCCAAAACGAAGTGAGAACGCTAGACGCTGGTGCTCCAAAACTGCTAGCGTTGCCTCATACGTGCAGACCACCGAGCGGCATACCCGGCATTTCAGGGCAAACTACCCGTCGATGCCAGTTGCCTCACATAGGCTTTTTAATTACACTGTTATAGCGTTTGAGAACAGACGAACCGCCCCTTGATGCCAGTTCCTTCACAAAGGATTGACTCACGCAGATGTAGGCCTATAACTAAGAAGGGAACAAACACAGCAAGCTGTGTCCCCATTCTGAATGTACACCACACATGTCTGTACATACTCTGTTTTATCCTTAGACTATCAAAAGACTGTCAAAGCAATGTATGTCCCATGTTCAGCTGCACTGAACCTCAAAGTACAGACTACTTGGACCCTGCTTAGCTGGTTCAGTGTTTTGCGGCAGACCTGGGCCACTTTCCCGCTCGGCGGTGTGCTTGGCCAAGCGTGCGCGCGCACTCGCGCACACGCACACACATTATATGCACACGCACGCACATTATATGCACAGGCACAGAAACAGGTACGACCGTGATCACACCCACAAATCTCAGCCCATACGCAAGGTATATCTGTTGGAAATCAGCAGAGGCGCGTAAAGAATCTGCTTCTGAACTGATGACGCGGACGTTACACACGAAACCATATTATATCATAGATGTACAGATGTACTTCATCCAGCATCAAAAATAGTTGGACGCCCATGCCAATAGGTGGCATACAAGACAACAACATGAGGGAATCATACCAGGCTGATCACTATAGAACGGACCGTTTAACGACCACGGCCATCGTGGCTGCAGAACTGATGACTTCAATACTACCTGGGGGATGATTGCTGATTTGGACTACAGCATGCCGGTCATCTATGCAGGAAGATGCGGTCCAGGAATTTGAGGCATTTGCTGCGGAGAGGAATCATCCCGCTCAAATGCTATCGCATCACTCATGCTAGACACCTGCATGTAGTTATATAGGCAGAAAACGGCCCAGCAGGATCAACAGGAGCCTCATGTCTTAGCATGTGCAGCCCGAGTGCGTCGGCAAAGCACCCGCTTACCTTCTTATCACCTCTGCCGCTTGTTAGCGATCAGTTTGGTGAGCCCCAATGGTGTCAGTCGTAGCTTTGATGCTAATGATTTGGGTGCATTGTGCCCGATTTTTTGGTAAAGACGATGGGCCTTGAAATGCCAGTTCTAATTTGATTTCGTTTGGTACCGTAAGTGTTCCGCTCATAAGGAGCCGACAGAACAGCAGCGTGCATCGTGGGCGACGCGTCACGCAGCAGAGTAGAATACGTGCCTTCTTAGTCTGGTGTTGCAGACTCAACCTGCGCCCGGCCTGGGGTCTGAGACAACCGCTCCCGGCGGCGGGGGGGGGGAGGAGGGGGGGGGAGTTGGCTTCCCTCTGTGGGATCTCAACTTCCAAACATCGTAAGAAAGATACCGTTGTGAATGTCTCGTCAAATCATGAAAAATACACACCAATTTTTTACCTTAGGTCAAATGGAATGTCACCAGAAGTCACGAAAAATGGTCGTTCTCAAATGTGCAGTTAAAGCACGTGTTGATACGTCAAGACAGATATTGAGGTCACAGAAGTAAGCGTTAAGATTGCTGCGAGTCCGCTCAGACCATCTTTGCCTCCCACAATGGTCAGATCTGGCCCGGTCACCGTTCAAAACTGGTCTGCCAGTGGCCTACAGCAATGATTTATTTTGTTTCTTTTACAATGCGCTTCTGGCCAGGTTTTTATCAGGTGCGGCTGTGAGCCAAGTATTCCAGGCACAAAATACCACCATAGGCTGACCTAAAGGTCAGTTGAGGCCAACTTAAGTCAAGTTCGTAAGCCATCCAAATACAAAAATGTAATGTTCACCGGGTCCAAGTGACCAATGCAATGCTTTTCTGGCGTCAGAAATGGTGTGTTGTACATCTACAGGTACTCAATATCGCAGAACTCTTGTGCACGCTGTACGTAGTCCCTTTGATGCTTGGCAATGTATTTGTAACAAACTGAGAACACGCACATCGGTACATAAAATTATATGCCATCATGTTCGCACAAACGACATAGAGGTGGTTACACGCATCGTGCTGGTTCATCTAGCTTCTCCGCAACTGACAACATAGGCCGGTGACCTCGAATGATCTCATATCGTATTGCATGTCCTCACGTGACTTACTGTGACCTCATTATGCGTTTGAATGATATCACAACATGTCTTCAGAGGAACGGTCAAATTCAGTGCCAAAACTATCCGCTGAAACTGCTTATTTTGACTTAGTTTGTTTTGCAGAGGACGACCATAGAAACAGGTCATGACCTAGGTCAACGTCATGAGCTTTATGGTTATATGATGGTTACGCGTATGAGTTTATACTTTTCCTTTTATGCAAACACCGAAACTGTACAAAAATACGTGCAAATTTGCATTATTTAGGAAAATAGCGAGCATTGACCTAACCTCAGGTGACTGACCCAGCTGGTTTTGAAAAATATGAACTTAGCGAAACGTGGGTACTTTTGCGTTCTATTACTACAGCAAGTTTGAACAATGGGGAATAATGCACAAAAAGCCATGCGTGGTCAAAGTGTTTTAGAAGTTGACCTATTCCACCTGACCTTGGTCACTGATCTTGGCCGACCAAAACTTCCACTTTTCATACAGACTGGCAAATTGACAGATAAACAGGTCATGGCAATTTGAGGCTGACGCGAGCGTTCGTTTTTTAGCTGTGCTCGAAAAACCGTAGGAGGGGTAAGCTAACTTCCCCCGCCCGGGCACGGCTTAAAACACACAGTCCCATATTAATTCTCTCGGAGTTTTTCCTTTTAGAAAAGTAACACAAAGCTCAGCGCGCTCCGTAATTTGCAGCAGCTTGCAACAAGCTTGGCGCAAGCTCAGCGTGTCACCGCGTCTTTAGTAGTTCCAACTTGCCCTTACAAGCTGTGCGTAATGGAATTGCCCAAATCATCGACTCACTCTGTTTCCAAAAGGCCAAATGACCAAAGCCCTCCATACCGTTCAAAATGCGTCGCCATGATATGGCTTCCTTCAGATAATTGGAAAGTTATGAAGTATGCCTAACCCTGCCTGAAGAAACCTAACTCTCCCCGAATAAACGTAGACTTAAATCTACATAATAGACGGACTAAAGCTTAAACAAAGACGTTAGCAAGCTGAAGAAGAAAAACACGATCAGTGTTGACATCAGCAGTCTCAAACACATAGGTCAGTGTTTGCATATATTCATATATTCATATATTGCAGCAAAGCATATATTCAGCTTTTTCCACATTTCCTTTCTTAAACGCGCACACTAAATAACACCGTGGATGAGAATGGAGACTATGTAAACTATGCCCTATGCTATGTAAACAGGTGATGAACACCATCATGCTCCAGTGCATCTCAAATGCACGCCCCATCTGCTTTCACGAAGATAATACATCACACGGGGGACCTGCAAGCCATCTTATCGTTCGTGAGAGCCTCACATTGGCTCCAGCTTTTCAGGACAGTATGTGCGCAACAGGGAACAGTGCGTCTTGGCCGCCAAATGCCAGCTCATGGGCCCTCAGCAAGTGCGCGACGCCTCAAAGGCAAGCAAGCTGTGGCCACATCGCGGCAGTCAGTAGAAGCCGGGTCTGGAGTGCTCGATGGTGCAGCGTTTGCAGTACTTCTTTACCGTGCGGCAGCCCTCGAGCGTCACAGCCGAGTCCTGCACGCTGACCCTGCCGCAGGCCGCGGCAGTGGAGGGCGACCAGCCTGACCCCCGCGTCGCTCACCATCTCACAGCCCCTGGCGCTGAGCCTCCTCAGGTCCGGGCAGTGCTGCGCGAGCAGCCGGAGACCCAGGTCGCTCGCGTCACTCCTGCCGACGTCGAGCGCACACAGCCGTCGGCAGCCGCGCGCCACCGCCGCCAGCGACGCGTCGCCAACAGTTGCGCAGCCGCGCACGTTCAGGTAGCGCAGACGGCGGCAGCTGAGCGCCAGCTGCGCGACGCCAGCGTCCGAGACGGTCCGGCAGTGCGCCAGGCTGAGGTGGCGCAGGCCAGGTCCGAGCGGGGCCAGCCGGCGCACGCCCACGTCCGTTATCCGGGGACAGTCGGCCACGCTGAGCTCGCGCAGAGCCGGACACCGGCCGGCCACCAGGCCCAGCGTGCCGTCTGAGGAGGAGAGGCGCACGCTCAGTCCGGCCGGCCAGCTGAGCAGGCTGCAGCGCTATGATTCACCACCGCATCGCCGGTTGTGCGGTAACAGTAAACGCCTACGCACACACTGTCATGCAGCACGCTCGCCTGATTAGTCAACTTATCGTACTCATCGCGCATTCCAATTGCGGTAGTATTCCCGTTTACGGAAGCAAGAGATACGCGTCACCGGTGTCACGAGGAATACTGAACAATAGTTGCCAGCGCGCGGCACCACAGTGGCAATGTTCCTATTAAGTGTATTGCAGCTGGACGTCCACCGAGCGGCGCGCTTTCGGAGCCGCCCGCTGCGAGGAAGGGCGTACCTGTCAGCTGGTGGCAGCGGCGCAGGTAGAGCCGCTCCAGCTGCGGGCAGCTGGCGACCGCAGCGCGCAGGGCGGCGTCGCTCAGGCGGCCGCAGCCGGACAGGTCAAGGTGCCGCAGATGCAGACGGCCGGCCGCCGAGCTCAGCTGGACACAGGTCAGCCGGTCACATCCTGTGAAAGTGGGTCCGGTCAAGTCATGCAAACAGCACAGTTTGAGTGTTTCTTACCGGCAGAGAAGCAAGCGTTCTCGGAGAACCGTGTAAAGAGTAGCACCCATTGTGCCTGGGTATCATTCATTGCCTTCAGGCTACCAATTTTGCATTTTTGGTCGGGCAATAGCAACATAGTTAGCAACATTCGGCGTCCGGGAGATCGTGATTTAAAATTGAAAGGCAAGCCATAAAACTGCGAGCCACAGCAATGCCAAATGGTGTAGTTCCAGACCACGAGTCGGCTCATTCATTATCTAATAGGGCCCACACCCTTTAACTTCCCCTTCAGAATGAGCTCATGTCTACTAAAACCGGCCGTAATGACAGTCACGTCGTGCCAGTGCACACTGTCATCTCCACGTGAGGCTGCTCTGCTAGCCCGCCACCGCCTCACTGACCAGTCAGGTCCAGATGCTGGAGCCGTGAGCAGCTGCTGAGCACGGCCGTCAGCGCCCGGCTGCTGATGGTCGTGCAGCCGCGCAGCTCCAGCCGGCGCAGCTGCGGACAGCGGTGCGCCAGCTGCGCCAGGCCGGCGTCCGTCAGGCGAGAGCAGCCGTCCAGCCGGACGCGCAGCACGGCTGGGCAGAGCGCGCCCGGCTGGCGGCGGCCCAGTAGGCGGAAGATGTGGCCGAGGGCGCCGTCTGGGTCAGCGCAGCCGCCCGTCAGCCTGATGTCGGTCCAGAGGCAAGGCTGCCAGGCCAGCCGGCGCCAGCGCCGGCAGACGCGCGCGCACCGGCTCAGCTCGTCCGCCGACAGATGCGAGAACACGCGCAGCGCCAGCTCGTCCGAGAGACGGACGAACGGTGCCGGCCGCCGCGCCCGTTCAATCTCCAGTCGGGTGAAGACGAAGTCCGTGCTGGGAGGCACCTCGAGCGGCGGCCGCCGCGGCCAGTCCTCCGGGCAATGCGCCGGCACCACGACACGGTATACCGGCGCCGGGGGAGCGCTGGGCCGGGCCGACTCTAGAGGCGGCGCTGCACGTGCCGCTGACGACTGCCAGCCGGGATCGCGGACAGGTGAAGTGACGCCAACTGACGTCAACTGTCCCTGCAGGCAAATACGTAGACGACGTTAGAGAGGATGACCCATACAGATATGCATATTATTTTGTTATTCTTAGCGCATCTAGCTTGGCACAAGTAACCAGCGTAGTTGATGTGCCCTAAAGCAACAAGTATATCTACAGCTACCTGTCATCAAGAAAAAACATTCATCGTCAAATGGACGATAACATAGGATCCGTTATCAGTGGGCACCGACGTAGCCCAAAACATCTCATGATCCATAAACTCCGAACATCGAGTCCAACCTACCGCGATGCCTAGATTACCTTAAGATCGCCGATACATGGCGGTCCACGCCCGACCCAGATCCGCCCGCTGATAGTCTTGTGGTTGTAGACGGCTGGTGACAAACGCTCTACCCAGTCTTCTGCGGTGTCATGATAACTTTGAGTAGCGCGACTGCCTGGAATCCGTGCCGATCCCACGCAGCCTGCCGGCACCGCCTCCGCGGTGCTGAGGTGGCGTGGCGCCGACGGCGCGACCTCCACCGCGGCGCTCGAGTCTGAAGAGACAGTCGAGAGGTCAGGTGCGGTACTCACAGCGAGTGACCTCAGGCGGCGAGAGGCCTGGCGTGAGCCCGCCCCTCCCAGGCCGTCGGCCAGCAAATGCCTTACAATGCTTGCAGAGACACGAACGTATTTGGCTCAGTGTTGGTGCGCAGCAGACGCATTAGCAGTGCACAAAGTAGCAAAGGACATCAAGTGCGCGAAGACAACATTTAGTAGTGTGATAAACGTCGGATGTGGCACAAATTCATCGCATATCAATCCTCAAGTTCGCGATGAATTGCATGCGTCCCGCACATCTGTAACTGGTAGGAGGTTTGCACGGATGTCAGCATGTACCCATTTGCTCAGCAATCGCAACAGAACTCACCAAGGGACGTCTGTCTGGAGTGGTTAGCGGAGCTGTAGCCGCTGTCGCAGTGAAGCGTGTTGCTGCACGCCATGCGCTGTCGCAGCAGCCTGTGCAGGCTGTCACGGGTATTGTCCAGGTCACATGTAGCCATGGCTGCGCGCCTCCGGGTCACTTGGCGAGCTCTCAGCGGGGCCCGTGCAGTCAAGAGGGGCGTCAGACGGGGACTGCCCAGCCCCGCACCCCCCCCCCCCCCGCACCACCCCCTCCCCGGTCGGCAACATTCCTCGGCGGCGCTCGGGGGCCGGCAGCAGCAGCCGCCGGGCAGCGGTCGGGCCCTGTTTGTGTCGGCTCCGCCTCGCAAACAGTCCAGCCGCCGCCGACGGAGGGGGACGCACTGCGGGGCCACCCGCGCCACGGCAGGGGACCTCCAGCAGCCAGGTGACGTCACGGGAATTGGCCGGCGGCCGGGCGATTGCGGCGTCCCTTTTGCCTTCTTAACACTCAGGCGACCGGCCGGAAGTGGATTCGCTTCGGAGTTGTTCGTTGAAGATGACTGGCGGCCTACCCTGCAAACGCCTATCCCCCTCTGCCCCCCCCCTCCCTCCTACCCCCCCCCCTTCTTAAAAGCGAATGTTCCGCATTTGGGGATATTAAAGCAAGCATGAGATATGATGAAAAAGCTCACTTATCACTATTGGTATGTTTTTAAGCGGAAAAGACATTGTAGACAGCCCAATTTTTTTTTTTCGTAAATTGGATCCTCAAGGCCTCATTTTTGATTGTGTCATGGAACGTTTCTGTGACGTAGGAGGTGCTGCCACACTGGTCATGCATAATTTCCACGCTAAACGCCTACTTGGAGTGCTTCATTCTCCAGCGAGGTGGCCGCATGCCTAATTCAACATAACCTCATTCAAATCCACAGTTGCCAGGATTTCAATGGCCTTACTATCGCGTCAAGCATGCCTGAATGACTTTGAAATAGTCTGCACGAAAATAAATCTGCACATCTTCGCAGGGGTACATCTCAGAAACTAGAGAGTTTTGCATTTGGAAGGTCAGGGGTGTGAACTACAGCGAGTGATCTCCAAGATGGCTATTTTGTTCATAATTCCACACAAATGTGGGACACCCCTTAAACATTATGACCAGTTGTCTGTTGTGGCAAGAGCTGGACAATCTGCTTTTCTGTTTTGTTTATCACCTTAGGCCTCCATGTATTTTCACCACAAGCACCGGGTGCCGCTCAATTTGTGTTATCAAAGAACTGCTGCATTTTCCGCAACGCTGGCTTTTGCCAGGCTTATTTCCATGTCATGGTCTCGTTGTGTATTCGGAAAATTATTCCAAATTGTTTGCCTGAAGAGCAAAAAAAACCCATTGCAACAGACTTGCAGTCCACGCTGCTGAGCTCCATGATGGTCCATAACTATTTTACTAGCTGTGTATTGCCATCTGCTAAGCTAGCTTGCCAACTGCATGGCGTCAGACTTATCAGATGATTGGTGTTCTAAATGGACACCACGGCCCACAGGGTAGTATGTAGTTAGTTTAGATAGATAGTAAGTATGTGCGGATAAAATGTCGTTCATGGTCTTCCAAGGCACACATACGATACAAGCAAGTCATAAACCCAGTCATATTTAGTAGACGGTCGGAAAATCAAATATATTGTTTTCTTGATTCATGACACCAGCTTAATATGATGCAAATACTTTAGGATGCGATGGAACACGTCACGTTCTGTTGTGTTCCGTCATTCAGGCACGATGTCATGCCATGAATATCAAATGCTATTTTTGTGGCTGTCGGCTCTTCCATTTAATTGACGGCACGACATTGCGTTAAGCCTTCTCTGTATTCGTAAGTTGGGGTGAAAAACCTGCTGCCTGTGGACCGTGGTGCGTCATGTCTCGATCCCAATAGCCATGCATTCGTGAATAAAACGTCGTGTGACGCTTATGCTTGCTCGTCCGGCTCCTGATATGTATATCCCTTTTATAACGTCTTTAACCCCTGAAATATCAGAATGTAATCAAGTTATGCGAGAGCTAATTAATAATATACACGACGTCGAAGGATTAATATCAGATTTAGCGGTATGCGTCTCACCATTGAAACATCAGAGAGCCAACAAAGCCAGCTAATGAAGTAAGTCGTACTGACGTCCCACACGAGTGCAGTTCAGTGCAGTAAAGTGAGGTGTAGGGCATTGCAGTGCAGTGCAGTGCAGCGCGTTTCCTGGACAGCGTCTGGCAGCTCGGGTTGCGCCGCCGCTCGACGCTGACGCTACCAATGGTAGCCCAGCCGAGGTGCACGCCACGGCCCAGCTGTCGGCCAGGAATCCACTCCACCGGGACAATACCGTCACCGGCCGGCGGTGCTCGGGAGGCGGGCCGAGTCACACGCCTCACGTCACCCCCCCCTCCCGCACCTGGTTATCCTCTCCCCCTCCCACCCCGCCGCGCCGAGGCCGGGCCACAAAAATCCCGCTGTCCCTTCCGGTCGTGCGGGTTAATAAGCACTGCGCCCCGTGGGTCGGAATGCGGCGTGCCTTACTGGCGGCGGTATGTGCGCAGCCGATACTGTCCCAGACCCAGGAAGGTGCGCTACCCTCACAGACGTAGCCGAAGGCAAGCCACTCTCACAGACCCAACCGAGGGCTAGCAACCTCACAGACCTAGCCGAGGGCGCACCACCCTCACAGACCCAGCAGAGGCACACCACCTTCACAGACCCAGTCGAATACGGACCGTCATCGCAGACCCAGGCGAGGTTTGCACCACCCTCACATACCCAGCCGCGGGCGCCCTGCCTTCCCAATCAGCTTTGGAAGTTGGAATGCACAGCTTGTCCCCGTTAACACGCAGGGTGTGCTAGCCACACGTAAAAGTGAAAAATCCCGTGAATAGCATTGCATCACTGTTCTGTGATCAGTGTCGTAGTACTCTCGAACCAAACCTTCCAGGCTATGCCCAGTCGGCCGCCACTAATGCGTGGATCATGTCATGGGGCAATGACGACAGTCGTGCAGCAATGACGACAGTCACGTATCAATGACGAAGTCGCGCAGCAATGAGG